CCATCTTTGGAACAAGAGTTTCCCTAACTCTCTCCCTATTGCTTGTGGAAGAACTCTGGAGGTATGCAGTACCAAGAGGAAGCCCTTGAAATAAACCAAGCGGTGCTGCCTCTCTGCCAGGTGGGGAGCTCTGAACTTCTGTACTGTGCTGATACACAGTTTTTGAAGACTTAGGAGAAAAAGAAAAAAGACTGTAAAATATCCCAATCATTTTAAATAGCAATTACATTTTGATGGGGGTACTGGGGATTGAACTCAGGGGCACTTGGCCACTGAACTACATCCCCAGACCTATTTTGTATTTATTTATTTATTTATTTATTTTGAGACAGGGTGTCACTGAGTTGCTTAGTGCCTTACTTTTGCTGAGGCTGACTTTGAACTCTTGATCCTCCTTCCTGCCTCAGCCTCCTGAGATGCTGGGATTACAGGTTTGTAATCACACCTGGCTGTGATCACATTTTGAAATGAGGACATTCTGGGTATATAGGGTTAAAGTATATGATTTAAAATTAATTTCACCTGTTTCTTTTTTACTTTTTAAAAATGTGGCTCACAAGACAATTTTAAATCACTCGTGGCTTTTAACGGTGGCTTGCTTTATAGTTCTGTGGAACAGAGCTTCGCTAAAGCGATGCTTTCCATCATGAATCCACAGTCCCTGACAAACGTTCTCACACCCTCCTGTGGAGAGCCTGTCCTTCAGCATTCAGCTCTGCTATCCCTTACGGAGGGACTCCCCAACTTCTCACCTGTTCCCTGCTCTTCCAGGCAAGCCCACCGTCACTCCTCCAGCTGATCTCTAAACTCCTGCTCAACACTCCTGGTGTCCTTGTCATCCTGCTCCCATTCCAATCCTTGCACTGGACTGTGAATTCCAGGACCTAAGGACTGGATGGGTCTTTTCCACTTTCATATCCCTGCCACACAGCATGAGTTTAGTACTAAAGAGGAACTTTGATATATTTACTGGTTTGAAAGAACACATGAAAGAATTCAGCTTCCTTTGTGCGTGGCTATTTCTCTTCCATATCTCCACCATCATTTCAAAAGGTTTATGGCTTGGTATGATCAAGACCGAAGAAATTAAGAGGAAACGCTAAAGGTTAATGTGGCTTTAACCCATAGTCATACTTTTTCAGCCACCATCCATATACATTGAAGATAACTTTCTTTTTAAAGGATACGTGCTATCTTAACTGAAAGAAAAGTGTGCTGGAATTGAAAGTGTGCAGGGATTGAAAGGTTTCACCAAAGCAAAGGAAATGAAGAGGAACCGCCCAGGAGGAGCCAGGGGGACTGGAGGGAGGGCTTGCTGAGCCTGTGAAGGGCTCTCCCGGGACACTGGGCTGCTTGGGACAGAGCACCATCTCCTACCTGCTACTGCATCTGTTGTTTTAACAGTGCCCAGGTATTTTCATTTCATTTCATACATTAGGTTGTACTTTTTGGCTTTAACCTAGAAAATACCTTTTCTCTTAAAAATAGCCGATTCAAAAAAGTACAGGATAGTTTTAAAGAAATGGAGCTTTCAGGAAAAACCAAGGTATGAGGAAATGAGTAACGGTGTGGAAACCATCACAACAAAGCAAAGGTCCCTTCACCCTCAACACACCCACACACTCACACATGCCCACCCTCACACACGGGCCTGCTCACATTCACACGCTCGTACCACACTTGTCCACCCTACCCACAAATACACACCTTCCAACACTCACATGCACGCTGCCATCCTCACTTAGTCACATGCACAAGTCTCACACCCTTACACACACATGTTCACACACACACACTCAGTGACACCCTCACCCTCACATGGATTTGTATTGCACAGACTCATCCCGCTCACGTACAAAACTCACATGCATTCACACGTATGCAACACATACACCCAGCCATGCACACCCCCCAAGGCGCTGCATCCCCTCAGCATGAAGAGTTCTCCTCTAATGTAAACATCCTACAAAAGTGAAAGGTCATCTCACATGTCCCCTGACGTGAGGAACGTGCTCTTTGTCACAGGCTTGTGGGGTTTTACTTGGGGCTTCCATTGTGCTTCTCTCTGACATTGTGGGGTGGCCCCTGTGTTTGGTTTCCCAGTGTTGCTCAAAGAAGGAAAACCCCAGCACACTACGTCTTTGCTCAGCGAGGGATGACTTGGGCCCACCACAAAGCGTCTAACCTAGCTGTAACATTTTTTTTTTTTTTCTGGGCTGACATCAGATGACTTCCTTGTGCCTCAGCATCACCTCCTTGAATCCCCAGGCCTATCTGAGTGTGGCATGAGGAACCCCCAGTAGGAAAAGGGGGGGGGCAGGCTGGGTTCACAAAGAGGGACAGTGATTTATGTCTCCTGCAACAGGGCCATGTTACCCCAAGGCCTCTCATTGGAGAACCCTCTTGAAACCTCAGCTTCCACATTTATAAAAATGAGTGTGTGTGTGGGGTGGAGAGGATGGCATCCCTGTGGCTCTAGAGGTCTGTGGTCCAAAGCAAGACTGCTCATCCCAGTTTCTCTAGGCATTGTTTTCATCCCTCCCTCCACAACACTGGACAAGCCCAGGATTTGACAGAAAAGGACTTAATCCTATAATGGCCCTGCAAAAGCTAGGACTGGATCCAGCTTTTTGATGACTGGTGTCAATCACAGACACTTCTAGTATTGACCTTTTAGTTTCTAACATAGGCCAGATTCAGTCCCGGTCACCCTTCTCAGGCCCACATTCTGGTTACATAAAAGAAAGAATTTTATGATGGTAAGAGGTGCCTGTGTGTGTGTTGGGGGGCGGGCAGCAGCGACTTCTGTCTGTCCTGGCAGAAGTAGAAGCGGTGGTATTTACAACAAGAGGAAGGGTAGACTCAAAGGGCATTGAAGACTCTTTAAGTTCCAAGGTCTCTCTAGAAACTAGTGAGGATGAGGACAAGGCCAAAGTGAGTAACTCAGAAGCATTTGCATGTGCACATTTGCTGAGCAGGACTTGTGGTTAACAGGCATTTACTTTGACTTGCCTCTGGTTTGGCTTTCAGACCGCCATGGTGATGCCTGGTCTGTAGTCTCTGACACCCCAAGAAGCACACAGGCATGCTGTAGTAACACCTGGTTTAACCTTGGAGCCCCTCCCTGCTCTATGGTTTCTAACCATTTGTGTCCCCTCATTGATTGACCCCACACTAGTCTTGTTGGCTTTACAGATTCCATTACCATTACTCTCTTTCTGCTGAGAGGAACCCTTGAGTAGAGAGACACGAAATAGGATTCACAAAGTCTCTTTCAGATCACTGCTGAGGACATTTTTTTTTTTTTTTTTGGAGGAGAAATTTAGGTGTTAACCAGTTCCTTCCTTGTGAAAATGAAAACCAACAGCCAACAAATTGAGCTATTTTCTACTGCAAATTGTGGCTTCTCTGCATGCCCTGCTTTGAGAATTTTCTTCCTATTAAAAAGCAGATTTATTTTAAAATAAATGTTGAGCTGCAGAGTTAGTTTCAAAGGGAAGAGCTTGATCGTGAGTCACTAGGCTATTTTTAGAACACCAGACTGAGAAGGAGAAGGAGAGAGGGTGGGGGAGAGGGAGGGAGGGAGGGAAAGGGCAAGATCATTTCTTAAAATTGAAGAAGACTGCAACTCTCAAACCCAATGGAGGACATCATATGGGGTTCCTAATTCCAAAACTGTTTGTTTGCCCTTGACTGGAAGATATACGCTCGCACTAGGAGACCTTTTCTTTTGAGCATGCCTAGCAGTAGCTCAATTCACATAGCATTTTCTTTCAACAAAAAAAATACCATGAAGTAGCCAAGAAGGTCCCAGCCCTGTCGTTAGTGGGTGACACTGGGCAAGAACTTCCTCTTCCTGAGGCTTGGTTTTCTTATCTGCGAGGTGGATGTTAGCACCTCACAGGGTTTTGTGAGGACTGAATGGACCTGCAATGGTGGCTTCCGGCACTTGGTGAAACTCTCATTCTACCCCGTAAGGGCTTACTGTGTTCTGGAAGGTGGCTCCATCTATCCCTGTTTTACGTCCATCGAGGAAGTGCTACTTTCTCTTCCTATTCGTGTTATTTTCTACTAATACACATACTCTGGAGGTAGGGCAGCTTTCTTTACACCCTCTCTCTTTCAATGACTATAGAAAACACATTCCTAAATATCCACACCACAGCTTTCTCTATTTACCAAATCTTGAGTAAAGTTACCATGGTCACTGCTGGACACCCTTATGTAAAGGAGGGGGACAGAGGTAACAGTGGTCCCCTTTATACTGTGAACCTAGCCCTTGCTGCTCTGCCACTGTGACTCATTTTTTCAAATGGACCTGTTTCTTTCTCTTCCTCTCTCCCTGCTCCTCCCTAATCTCAGGGGAAACAGGATTGCCTTTCTTCCTCATCCTAGGCAGAGTTATCTGTCCATGAGTACAACACCCACCATAGGAACGGAAGTAATCCAGACTTGGTTGGTGGATGGTATCAGATCTCAGAAATGACTGTCTCCCAATTAACAAGTGAATTGCAACTCCAACAGAGAACATAGGAAATGTAGCCTCTGAGTCACCTCTTTAGAAGCCCCCTGTTCTTGCTGGATAGGATCATAGCCTTCTTTTCCCCTTTTCTCCAAACCATATCCTCATTATTGGATTGGCATCGGGGACAAGGAACGAGCTTTGATAATAAGAGTTAAAAGAGACAACATAGTTGAGGTGAGAGGGTGGAAATGCCAGGAATGGAAGGACCTTGATCCACTGGAAAGTGGGATGAGGAAAGGCTCAGGTGGCTGGAAGGAGGGCCTAGGCTGGAGCCCCCCTCCTCATCTGGCAGGTAAGAGCACTGCAGCAGGGATCAGAGCCAAGTCTGAGAAAGTGAGCTCCTACACAGGCTTTGAAGCCTCATATCAAAGCCACGACAGAAAAAAAAAAAAAAAAGGTATTTTTCTGCCTTGAAAACATATAATCACTCAAATATATAATCTCCTTGAGTTTAAATTTGAAACTGAAAACTTACCTTCCAGAAAAGAGAAATTTGTTGTCTATCGAAGTCCACGGCCTGTTTCATGTACCAGACATCTAAGGTCCCAGTAGGTTCTGATTTGAAAGGGGGGAAAAAATGAATTTTCATAAATACTTGCACAATAAAAAACCTTTAAAAGTCAAGGATTATAGAATAATGTCAATTTCTTTGTAAAACAGTATCTTCTTTTTCTTTCATCGAACAACAAACAAGTATTTCTTTGGTCAAAAAATCAGGAAAAAAAGGAGGTTACTTCAAAAACAATTTTTTTTTAAAAAAAAGATGAGGGGGAAATTCATTTCTAAGTTTCCCATAATATGTATTAATACATGTTTCACTGGTACATAAGAGTTTAATTTAAAAAACTCAAAGGAAGTATGTGTAGTGATTTTTTAATTGAAATATAGAAAGAGGTCTCAATAGAAAAATAAAGACATAAGGAAAAAGCATTTTTAGATATTGTAAAAACACAGATGCAAATGATAAGCCTTATATTTATCTCCAATCCTCACTATGCTGAAAAACCAGCCTCTACTTCAGAGCAAAGCTGTCTAAGGAAGGGGGCGTGACCCTTGTCCTTGGAAAGAGGACCCTTGTCCTAGGCACATTCCCACCTAATTGTTTATCTACAAATGACAGGAGAGATCTGCTGAGCCAGGTGTCCCTGACTCAGTCAGACTAGGTGGGGACCCACAGCAACCCCCTAGAAGCCACCAATCAGCATGAGACCAGGAAAATACCTGGGATGCCAGGTGACCCTCCCAGTAGTTTATGGTGGTTGATAACATGTTGGAAAAACACGTAGTTCAGCAGGTACTCCCCTCATGACTTAAATCAATCAGTTCAAACGAATCCCCCTCTTGTACTAACCAATCACCCTTACCCAACTTGTTCCCACCAGTGAATGTGCTAATCATGTTTTAGAGTTGTTTTATGATTTTCCCGCGGTGTGTGATGATTTGCTAAGAGATGCTATGATGTATGTGAAGTCCCTGCCTTCTCCAAAGAGTGTATAAAACTGCTGCAAACCCTGGGCTCGGGGCCTCTCAGCGTCACCAGTTGCTGTGCGCGTGGGGAGGACCGAGCTAGCTCACAATAAACACCTCTTTGCTGCTTACATTGATCTTGGTCTCTGGTGGTCTTTTGGGAGTCCCGAATTCGAGCTTAACAATGCTGTAGTTTAGTTATTTGGTTTTTGATCATTAGACAATGATCTACTTGAAAGGAAGGACTAGCTCATTTATCTTAAAATTCCCAGTACCCAGTACAGGTTTAGGATGTAACAGTTGCCCAGTAATTGTTAAATGATAAATAAACATGAACAAATTAGGCAATATTATGGAACTGGTAGAAGAAATAACCATCTATCCATAGGACAATGGTCAAATATGGTCTAATTTCATTTGAGAAAGTCAAGCATACTGGAAAAAAGTGAACAATCAATTTGTGTGGGCGATTGGTAGGTGAAGTAGTTTTATTTCCTCTACTATCATGTTACTAGATTTGCTTTGATTTGATTTACAGCCAGGAGTGGAATCAATAGAAACAATGCCTGAAAATAGGCTTTGGTTGTACCAACCCAACTTCCTTTTATTTATTTATTTTTTTGGTACTGGGGATGCTTAACCACTGAGACACATCCCTACTCCTTTTTATATTTACAGACAATGTCTTACTGAGTTGCTTAGCTAAATTGCTGATCACAAGTTTCAAACTTGTGATCCTTCTGCTTCAGCCTCCCAAGCCACTGGAATTACAAGCGTGTGCCACTGTGCCAACTTCTTTAACAGTGAAACTTAGAGTGTATTTAATGTGAGGCTACTTTGGGATTCCTTCTGTAGCAGAAAGCTCCATTTAACCAGGTGGAATTTCTAGAAAATTAAGTTTTACTCTGGATAACAGAAGATAAGCAGTCAAGGAGAGAAGAAGAGCAAAAGGGAAAGGGAGCCTATTTACATATCCATCTCACATCCTTCCTCTAACAATGGTCCACTTTATGCTTTGAACATAGCCCCTGCAACTTATTTTTAAAATAGACCTGTTTCTTTCTCTTCCTCTCTCCCTACTCCTCCCTAATCTCAGGGGAAATAGGATTACCTTTCTTCCTCATCCTAGGCAGAGTTATCTGTCCTTGAGTACAACACCCACCATAGGAACGCGGTAATCTAGACTTTGGGAATGGCACTAGAAGATCTCAGAAATGACTGTCTCCCAAATTAGCAAGTGAATTACAAATCCAACAGAGAACAGGTGGAATGTAGCCTTTGAATCCCCTCTTTAAAAAAGTCCCTGTTCCTGCTGATGGCAGAATCATAGCCTTTGGGACAGGAGTCTCCTGTGTTCCTCCTTTTCTAACAAAGCAATAAGCCTTCTTTTTCCTTTTTCTCAAAACCGTATCCTCATTATTGGGTTGGCTTAGGGTACAAGGACTGAGCTTTCAGTAACATCCCTACACCCCATGATGCAGGTTGGTGTATTGGTTCATGTGTGAGCTCCAGAGCCAGGCTACCTACAGCTCTTAAATAAGCACTAACTGTGTCCTTCAGCCAGTTTTCCCATGTCGAGAGAGGAAGATAATTCTGTACCTCACATGGGGCTGTCTTGAGAATCTAAATGGAGAGAGCTGGCACATGGTAAGCTCTCAGCAGATTCAGCTTTCGCCATTTTCTTTATTTGAAAACTGAAGTGCTTAAATCTTAAGAAATTTGTTCCAGACCCCAGAACCAATAATCAGAGAAGGGAGGCTTTGAACACAAGACCGCTGATCCCACAGTAGTTCTCAGCCTTGGCTCTGTATCACGCAGTGGCCTGGCTCTGAGAAAGTTTACGATTTCTCTAGAATCCTCCCACCCCCTTCAGGAGGGCCTGTTGTCTGGATATTCTTTTGTCACTTCCTTTTTCTGATTCTCTCATCCTCTTCACTTTTTGTGTTTTCTAAATACCCACCTCTGCTCTTTGCTAAAGACTTTTGGTCCCTCCATCTTCCCATCAGTGATAATATTTACCCCTGTGGTGAGGACTGAGAGGTAAGAGGTAAGCTTCCACTAACCATTCTGAAAACACTCTCAGTTCCTCAGGATTATGAAGAGCATTCCAGAAATCAAACCTGGGCCCTCTACCTCCTAGTCTAGATGACAAAAGGAAAACATTATAGGCCATTGAAGAAAGGGAACCTGACCTTGAACACATTACCACCTCATTAGAGCCAGCTAATGCTCGGGCAGTTCATGCCCATATCTCATCTGATCCTCACACAGCACAGGGGGTGGGAACGGAGCATACTGCTGTTCATCTGAGGACAAGGAGGCTGAGGACAGATGGTTTACAAAAGGCTTAGAAGCTGGGCATGGTGGTACACACCTGTAATCCCAGCCGCCTGGGAGGCTGAGACAGGAGGATTGCAAGTTCAAAGCCAGCCTCGGCAACTTAGCGAGGCCCTGTCTCAATGTTTCAAAATAAAACATAAAACTGATTAAGGATTTGGCTCAGTGATTAAGCGTCTCAAAAAGAAAACAAAAAAACAAAACAACAAAAAAAAAACCATTTAGCTGGTAAATGGCAAAGAGGAGAGTTGAGCCCCTAGCTCTGGCTTCTCCAAAGGCCCCACTGACCCATGACAGTCCACTATATTGTGCAAAGATATGAACATTCTGCAAACTCGACAGTCTAGACTTTAACTATGTAATTAGGATTAAGTGTGCTCAGCATCAAATCAAGTCAACTGACTTGCTCATAGCAGTAAATGCCTTCATTTCATTACATACTGGTAACAAATTTAAAAGAAATGTTCATTGCCTCATTAAAGATCCCCAATGTAATAGATTATTACAGAGCAAAGAATCAAACTCTAGAATGACACTCTCTTCCCAGAATAAATTGCAGTGAAACTGAAATTTTAAAGGCGCCCACCTGTGGTGTATGCCTCCACGGGAGAGAAATCATTAGTTGAATCTCTCTGAGTTTCAAAGTGTAAAATTTTATGATCAGGGGTGTCAAATCTCTGCTGCTTAAGGCAACATAAAGGCTAATAGTGAGAAGAATCCTTTGACATTCAACTGTCACAAAATCACTTAAAGTTCTAACCTCAGTGTTGTCTAACAAAAGACAGAAAAAACTATTACAGACAATCGAGAAAAAGAAAGTCAAAGGCCAAGGCCATCAAGTGAATTCAACACAAATGGGTAAAAATGACTAAAAATACAAATATGAGAAATGGAAGTCAGCCTTTCTGAGATGAAACTACCTTCTGTGTAAAGGGGAAAGCAAGAGGACTGAATGAGGAGAAAGCTATCTAAGTGAAAAGAGAGGGGCTCCTATATTAATCAGGAGACCAGCCCAAATGGGTCATGACCTTGAGAGTTCATTCTGCAATGCTGAGATTCTAGGATTCTAAGAATCGGTTTAGGTAGTAAACAAATCAGAGCCAAGCCACATGCTGCTTTTGAGATTAGCATCCATATCTGAAGTTGAGACCAGTGCAGGAAGCCTGGACACAGGAAACCCAATCACAGGGAGTACAGAAGTTGCTCTGCAGGAATTTCCCAGCCAGGGAAAGTGGAGAGATCAAGAACAATGCGAATGCAGAGGGAACAAAGGGTTTTTGTCTCATCCTGGTTCAAATGATGCTCAGGGCAGGCAACCCAGAGGTAAGCTGTTTATCTTCTTGGTTCCTTGATGTCCACTTTTTGGGATGTGATGACTCATCTAACATCTCGATTCTAATACTCAGTTCAATCAGGTCTTCCAGTTACTTGAGTAGACAAGGGTTTAGAAGTAGATCCACACCTTCAGACACTGTCACCTGCTGAGCTGCCTGTGAAGTCTCTCTTGCCTGATGACTTAGCACTGGTTCACTCTCTCCCTTTCTACCTCTTTCCTGTCATTATTCTTGGTGGCTCACTGTGTACATGAGGGTTGTTCCCAAGGGCTGGTATTGTCAGTACCCTCACCTGCCCACTTGTAATCATCTATTTCTCTCAACTCATGACTGCCTCTGGCTTCACTGAATGAAGGAAAACAATCAGAGAGGAATTCCCTCATCTCCTCCATCAGGAGAATTTTCAAACTGCCACTA